GCATATCTCTAAGTCAGACTTCTGGCCTCCCTCACCTTCCAGACACAGCTGTGAACCCTGAGATATGTGGGAGGTGGGGAGTGAGGGAGAAGCCCTGTGGCAGCTGAAATTACTTCCTGCCTCCATCTCTAGGAACGCTGTTCCTTTAGCTAGGGCTGAACTCCGGATCTTATTACTCTAATCTGAGGCTCACTTAAATTAGCTTAGTTATCTACTTTTTCCCTCTAAAGAGCATAGAAATTATTAAAAGAAGATCCAGGCAGGCATGCTCGTGCTAGTGAGAAGTGATCACAACCTGCCGTCCTAGAAACTAACAGAAAACCTAAAAAGCAGACACAAAGTACCCAGGCAGCAAAGTACCCAGCACTGGGTCCACATATGGGCAAGCTGTTCTGTGTATCCTAGGGAGCCTTGTGGGCTGACCTGTATCCACACATTGCAATAGTGATATGTGGAATGATGACCTTTGGCTATCAAGTAAGAGTGAAATCAGTCCATTTATTTAAAATTTAACATGAAACTAACTAATGTATACCATCTATGCTTTAAAAAAAGAAAAAAGTTTAATTTTTTTTTTAAATGGCTTTATTCACAATTGGTTATACAAAGATTGGGCCGTGAAGGGAGCAAGTTTCTTTTTTCTGGGAATCACACATGGTCTTGGTGCCATTGCCAGAATGAAACTTTGCTTATGACTAAAAGCGGGAGGGGAGAGGTAGGTAAGGGTTAAATGGGTCAAATACATGGTGACAAAGGAGATTTGACTTTGGGTGGTGAACACAATGCAGTATATAAATGATATATTAGTGAATTGTACACTTGAAACCTATATCGTTTTGTTAACTAATGTCACCTCCCTGCTGCCAGCTCGCCCTTCCCATACTGCACGCGCGCCGTCCGCTCTACACGCAACCAAACACGGAAAACCCACAGCCCAACGCGACACGTCATGGAGACAGAAAGAAAGAGAAAAAAAGAAAGGAAAGGAAAGGAAAGGAAAGTAGGGAGAGAGGGAAGGAAGGAAGGAAGGAGGGAGGGAGGGAAAGAAGGAAGGAAGGAAAGAAATGAGTTTTCTCAAATTTCTCAAAACAGAGTCATCTACTCTGTTTGCCAAATCTATTCCATATGTTCTTTTGGTTATTTTCCATAATTAAATTCTTCTTTAAAAGATAACACCTTTAATTATCATATTCTTTAATTACTTTTGGTTCTCCATTTAAGGAGTAAGTACATACTTTTGAAATTTATTCAACATAGTTTTTTTTCTGAAGTTTCATGGACAATAAAAGATATTAGAGCAAAATAGTAACATAAACATCAAATTTCATAGCCATTATATACCGTTTTGTATCTTTCTGTCTGAAAGATAATGCTACATTTCCTGCTTTCTAGTCTCTGCTTGCTGTGTTGTTGTTTTCCCGCAATCATTAAAAGTGCTGAGTGAAGAGTTTTCTTTTCATTATCATATGATTTGGTTTTGTTCACCTTTTCCTTCTGTTATGTAGATTGCTGATTAGAAGTTGCAATTGTTAGAATAAGCTTATCGAAGACATCATCCAAAAAATTCTTTCTTCCTTTTTCAGTTCTCTGAAAGGGTAAAATCTTGATTAAGAAATGCCTTGCCTGTCCCCTTTGTGTGAATGCAGCCATATTAAAAAGAAAGTTATCTTCACGAGTCCTGCACGAGAGAGAGCCACGTCTGTGTCTGCACCACCCACAGACCTCTCCCAGACAGAGTTTAAACTCAGGTACAGGCAAAATTTGGAAGCCAAGGACTCTCTTCCTGTAGTTCTCTCCTGTCACACTCAGCCACGTTTTCCTCTCTGCATGGTGACTGCTTTCTTTCTTTATGAACAAAGTATTATTCCTCTTTTTACTCCTTTTCAAACAGAGTAATTGCTCACTTCTATTTATTACATGAAATGTTATCACCGCCATGCCTTTTACTTAGTCTTTTCTGCCTAGTTGTGAGATGAGCATCTTTTTCCTGCTCGATTTAGGAAATTTTAGTCGTCACTGAATGAGGGGTGAGGCAGGAGAGACAGAGGATGGGACACATACAAGTCGTCACTCATAAACTTGTAGCTGACGACTTTGCCACAGTCACCCAAGGAGGAAACACAGGCTCACAGCTGGCTTGCTCCCTCCTCCCAGCTTCTCCCTCATATCTTTCTCATTCCTCCCAACTCCGGCAGCGTATCTCGCCTCCAGGGACACGTTCTTTTTTCCTCCCTAAAGTGTGGGGAAAAAATTTCTAGTTGTCAGAGTTTTATTGAAATGAGATTGGCATTCGGAAGAAGCAGCATTCTTTCCGGAGGAGCGGGACTCGCTCAGTTTCAGAGGGAGCAGGTTTTCGTAGTTTGGGGTTATGACCCTAGTGCTGACACTGGAAAGGAGAGAAGGGTGAGGGGGTGTGGTTTTCCGGGGGCACAGTGTGGCCACCCAGTCCAGGCCTCGGAGAGAAGACCTGAGTTCCGGAGTGCTGTTTCTCAAAGTGTTGCCCACAGGCCACCCACATCTGAGTCTCCTGGGTGTTGCTTATAAATGCGTCCCAGGAGGACTAAACCAGAATATAGAAGAGTGAGCCTGGAGAACTGAATTTTAAGAAATTCTCAGTGATTCTTCTCCTAAATTTTAAGAGCGAGTGCCCAAGATTCTGATGTTCAGTTTTCCAGCTCCCCAGATCATTTGGTTGTGCATATCAAGAGGTGCTCAGGATGCAGTGACGGACCCACCCCAGCCACACGCATAAGAAACTGAAGCATAAACCGGAAAGGTGGTTTGAACTTCAGTCATTTACTGGTGTGGGGTGGGATCCTGCGGCAGCAGAAGGGAGAAGTGTTTCTAGTTCTTCAAGCTTTGGCCTTTGCATGTTATTCTGGATGTAGTTCTCTCCTGTCACACTCAGTACTATTTCCCCTTCCGAGAAAAGTATGAAAAATTGAAAATTATCTTTAAAGCAAGGCTCGGCCATCAACATGCTCCAGAAGGGTTTCCATCACCCCTGCCCGCCCACCACAGACACCTCTGCCACCCCAGGTGTTGTGCTTCGTACACCGTCGTAAATCACTTGCTCCTCTGTGTATCTCTCCTATGAGATGCTGAACTTAATTGAGCCAGTCCCAGTGCCCAACCTAGAGTTACTGCTCTATAAATGATTGTCAGATGAATGGGTGAGCACGAGATCTTTTAGACCTTGTGAGGGTTTGTTGACGTACATTCTCTTTAGTTTTTACCATCTCTGCTGTAAGGAATGGCCTAATTTGCTTTTGTATAATGTTAAATATATGTGACCTAAACTCGGCTTCCTGTGATCCTTGCAAAAATGTGTTTTAAGAACAAAATAAATAAGATAGTGAGAAAATTAAGATGCTTTGGTGGTCTTAATACTTGTGAAGTACATTTTTTTAAATATCACAAAATGCTTTAAAAGCACTCCAAGTAAATTTAAGAGATCTACTAGATTTTGACTAAGTGCTTAAAAGAAAGTTTTCTTAATTCCCTGTCCAAATACTTCAAATTAAATTTACTCGTAGCAATTTCACTGGAAGATGGGGACTCTGCAATCCTTGGTTTGTTATAAAGAAAATATTTTTGTCTTCAGATGTTTGGAGGACAGATTAAAGGCAATTTATGACTCACGTAGAAAGTAATAAAAGTGGTAATACTGGAGTGTCTTCTAAATTGTCATCATTTTCTGGAATTACTAACAATGTTTCATGTCCAAAGGGAATTACATGCATTTGTCATACTTTAAGATAAACTATAACATCAATCTTATAGCTTCTATACTGGATTATTTGTTTCATTCTGTTGTTTATAAAAAGGGATTCATTTAGCTGTATAGGAGATGAATTCTCTCATTAGATCTTTTGCCACGGGGCACAAGAAAATATATCTATAATTTATTTCTTTGAGGAAATAGGCTTTAAGATCTACATACAAAAAGTCTTTTATTAAGATCCATCATGGCCTTTTTAGTTTCTCCAGAAATACTCCATTTTCAAGGTAAATCATAACAAAAAATAAATTAACCTAATAATTTATTTTCCTTCTTATGGTATACTTTTTTATTAATAGAAGTCCAGTTTGCAGATTTCTTATGATATGTTTAAAGTAGTCACGTATAACTTTTTATAGTATTTTACAACTTACAAAGAACTATTTAAATATTGTTTTCCAATCTTTGCCACAACTCTGTGTAGTAATAATAGTAATGCTATTATATGTTATTGAGCCCTTGTACTATTGAGGAACTACAAGGGCCGGTGGTATCAGGACATTACCCAGTGTCAAATAGCAAAGCCAGAACTTAATGCGGAACTTATCTCCAAATAACACCCTCTTTTAACTCCACCCCTGGTAAATGCAACACTGTTTTCCTTGGAGTTTGTGTTTAAAAAGAAACCCTAGCGGTATTACAATGTTATTGTTGCTCATTCTCTATTTTCTGTTTTCAATTAAATGATGGGTTCCCACGCTTGATGAAGTTCAATTTTTTAAAAACTACCCAAGTATTCATTGCAAATGACTTTCTTGCATGAGTATGTGTGATGTAGAAAGTGAATCTGAAATCATTTTAAATATGCATTTGAGTTTTTATATAATGCGGCTAATTTAATTATTTTAATGCTCCTGAGTGTTTTAATAGTGCCGATCCTATTTGTGTAATAGAGCCAATCTCAGTATACTCATCTGAAAATGAGAGATATTTCTTTACTTTCTTGTATATGAGTCCTTTAATATAAGATGAAATGTATACATAAAAATATTTATCTGTTTATATACTATGCCATTCTACTTCCTTTGATTCCAAGTTCAGAACCCCTGGATGACTTTGCTTCCAGCTCTAACAGTCTATGTTTTTAAGTCAAATGTCAGATAACATTCCTGTGTATGTGGTATGATTTTCTCCAATAAGTCACATGCTTCATGAGTTGATGCTCACTGACTAGAAGGTGGATCGCAGTGATGAAATGCACGTGTCTTCTCCCACTCAGGGTAAAAGAAGCTGAAGAGGTGTGTAGGCAGAAAAAGGGAAAATCACTTTATAAGATAAAACCAAGACATGACTCTGGAATCGTAAGTATTTAACTTTTCTGTTCTTTAAACTGTGATTTTCTTTGGCTTTTAAACACTGTTTTCACTATATATACAAAAACATATAATAAATAATATTTTTCTCTTAAGTTTGAATAAATAATGAGCTTCTGACTTAAAGAATTTCCAATTCCTGATGTCTTTAATTAGGCCCAAAAGGCTAAGAGAATCTCAGTACTCAGCATTCAAAGCTTAAGAATTAAGATCTACTCAGGGAGTGCTTATTCGCGGGTATCTATGTGTACGCAAGAGAATCTCAGTACTCAGCATTCGAAGCTTAAGAATTAAGACAGATCTACTCAGGGAGTGCTTATTTGCGGGTATCTATGTGTCCATACTTACTCATTGCCATCTTTCGTACACATAGATACCCGCGGGCCATCTTTCACTTTCTTCATTACCCATGATCACAGGGCTGCTTTTGAACCCAGAGTGGCTGTTATAATTGGATTAATGCCATTGGGACCTAAAACATAACGGGAAATGCCAAGTGTGGTGTTGTCCTTTGCTAAGACACAGGACTCAGACCTGGTTTGTACCCATAAATGGCTCTACGGAGTTGGCTGCTCAACATCATCAGTCAGTAAACTGAGTTTAACAAGCTGTTTAAGTTTTCTCCTTGCCCACTTCTTCCTTGAAAATGAAATGCCAGGTTTTGCACCCTGAGAGGGAAGGGTTTGGTGAAGATGATAAGTTTTCCCTTGTCAATGTTTTGTTGAACATTTTTAGGGATTATCACTTGGTGTCACAGAGTAAGCTGTTTTAAATGAAAAGTTGGATTAAGCCTTAAAATAAGAGCATTTTGAATTGGATTAGTCTAACATAGTCTAAATGAAAAAGATTAACATAACCCAAATTGGTATATAATTAAATAGCTCTATTTAGAAAAAGTTATAAATTATGTCTTTATTTAATAGCTGTTTTCCCTTCAGTTTCTCCGTATCAAAACTAAACTTAATGAATGACAAGTATTATATTATGGTTTACTATATTTTCTGTCTTATTGATTAAAATACACATTTAAAGTGTATTAAATGAGGAGGAGTAATTATTTATTAGTCAACCCCAATCATGCTCTTATAAGGATGAAAATGAAACAGCCAGTGATTCAGTTTTCATCTAAATGTATTTGCACAGAAAACAGAACAAGGAAGCTGAGTTGGCACTCTTTCACGTCAATAAGAAATTAAATTTTAAAACTTTTTTTTTTCTCAAAACATTTAGTGGTTTGTCTTGGTAAAAATTTCTAAAAGAGAAAAACATATTTTACTTATAAATATTATTTTTCCTTTATGGGTTGGTTGATCTTTAACCTTTCCCAGAGAATTTGATCCAAATGAAAAGGTCTTGTTTGGGCTACTCTAAACTCCATACATTTTTTAAACTTCTTGTTTCTAACTATAACTCTTATCTGGTGCATTTATTTTTAGAAAGCAAAGATAAGCATGAAAACCTGAACACAGGAAAGCAGAATGAATACAAGTCACTCTAAGCACTTCCACAAAATTTAGCTGACCTGAACACGGGAAGGAAACTACATCATTTCGATCATTTTTCTTCTTGACCTCTTGCATAATCTTTGTGTTTTCTAGACAATTCACTGTTGAATTTTACTGTACATTCATATAAAAATGTAAAAGCAGTAGACCAGTGGAGAATTTGACACCTTTTCTTTTTGTAAAAGTTTATGATATTATACTGATAGGCTGAAACAGCATGTATTAGAGGCAGTATCTGCATTAATTCTGAACATGCTAAACTTTAACCTAAAATTTTCTTTTGTAAGAATATTTATTTTCTTTCTACTGACAACCAGTACTTCACATCAGTGCATTTAGATTTATGGTTAAAATGTTATTTCTAGTGAATTGTTGTATCAGTTTCACACCTACGTATACATTTTTATTCTAAAATTTAAATACTGTTTATATACTATAATTAAGGCTTTCCCAACTCTTTGGGTTGCTCTCCATAACTATATATTTGTGAAAGGAGATTATAGTTTTTCTCACTTGTTAGATAATGAAAGAAAAAAAATATAGCAAAAGGAAACCCTTTTCCGATAAATCATTTAATATAGGCAGGAATCAGAGTTTAAGTTTAATGAAGGCTCCTATCAGACTGTGTCCTCTGAGACCCCAGGTAAAGGAATCTGTGGCAGAAGTAAATAAAACTGAAGGTGTGCCTCCCTGTAACTTTTGCCATTGCCTTTCACAAAGAAAATATGACTCAATATGTTGAAGGGATTTAAATAAATGGTACTCATAAAATCGCCAACATGACTAATTGTTGACATGAAAAAAGTAATTTTTTGGATGGATTGGCATCTACCTAGAACCTGTTAATTAAACATACCTGCCCAAGTATTTTGACATAATTGGGGTTTTCTTTCTGTGTTATGGCAGGTGATTAAAAGCTGAAAAAATGAGTATGTAATGATTCATTATCTGAAGGGGTTTAGGAAAGGATTTTATATTACAACGAGGGAGAAAACATCAATATCCTCTTCTGAGAGTACTTTAAAGTTGACTTATGATGCATTGTGATGGTTTTGTCTAACAGTAATAGGTGCAGTTTTTTAAAATAATTTTAATGACATTTGTTGAAGGTTTTGGTTGTGGATAAAGGGGAGAGTTTATTGCTATTACAAACCAATTATGGAAAGCAACTTAAAAAGAAAGTTCCGAATCATAACTATGTTTGTATTTATATAAAATATGGTCTCTTACCTTTTAATTTGTAGTTTAAGTGCAAAGAAACAGTAGTGGTTTTTTGGTTGTAGTTCCGTAGTCTTCCTGTCCCTTTCACTCCCTCTAATGTGTATATTAACATTCTTCAATGAAGTAATAGGGCATTTAACAAAGATCGCTATGTGCAATACTGTATTTAGTGTTTCTATTCCAATTTTTTAGGATGTTAATTTATATGAAAATAAAGTGAGTAATAAAAGAGTTCTGTGTCTATTGTGTGCATTTGCCTAAGGATACTTGCAAAATGAAACCAGCATTTTTAAAACTGGAAGAAACATAAGTTAGATAGTCTGTGTTTAAAGATTTTTAAAAGTTCTTATTTCAGGCTTAACAGTTGTTAGTAAAGTGTTTAATGAGTGCTTGTTTTTAGAGATAAAATATTTATTATGCTACTTCAAAACATATTTGGATAAAGGTTGAAATTTTCCTAATGTAATTTTAAGGAAAAAGTGTTTTCTACTTATGAGCAACAAAATATTAATATTTGAGAAGTCTTTTAAAATTTAGAAATTGGATGCAAAAATTCATTTGATACAGATTAAGTGGTGAAGGACTATTGAGAGATGATAAGTCAGAAGCAAAATGGTACAGAAGAGATGGATATAGAAGAGGAAATGTAAGAAATGAAAACTAAGCATGATGCTAATGGAGATGCATGAAAAGTTTTTTTTATATATATAAATAAGCATTGCATTTAGATCTGATCTAATTTTTTAATGTAATGATCAATTTTTCTTTCATCACTTGCTTATTGGCTTATTACCTACTCTTTGCCAAGCCGTTGTGCTAATAACTGCACATTTAAACAGGAAAAGAGCTGAATGTTCTTAAAGAACTTAATACCAAGTTGTGGGAAAAGAGTGTAAAGTAACAATTGCAATTCATTGTAATATCCGATTCAGAACAAACAAAAAGCTAAATCTCAAGGTATTGAGTGGGAGTTAGGCAAGTGAAGGGGGAGAGGAGAAATCACAAGTGCGAATACAGTGCTCAAATGCACATGGAAACATCATCTCTTTTAGGAGTTGCAACTCCTTCAGATTATATGGAGGGAGCAGAGTGTAAAGGAGAAAGAATGGGGGAAATGTTGCTAGAGACATACAAAGGGATTTTGTGGTAAATACTAATGTAACTTTATTATAGTTTGGGGTCAGGAGTATCTCAGAGTCATCTGTGCCCTTGCGCCTCATAGCGGGGTGGCAGACTAGCAGCAATGATGTCATCTGAGAGCTTGTTTGGAATGCAGTCTTAAAAGTTTTCCAGATGGTTAGTGGGAAGGGGATGATGGCATATTTCTAAGAGAGGTAGCAAGGGAAGAAAAAGCATGGAAAACAGAGATGCGAAATAGCCTCCATGCCTGCAAAAGAATTAACTCTCCACAGATAATAAGGAGGTAGAGTATAAGGCAGAGTAAGGGATGCAGACAAACGCACGTGTAGTAATCAGGAGGATCAGGGGTTAGATTGTTAGACTCTAATAATAAGAAATGCTATACAGTAGATTACGAAGCTAATCATTTTAAGTTGCAACATGACCTGTTTTTTTATTTATTAAAGCCCACTCTGGTACCATTGTGAAGGACAGAATGGAGGAGTATAAGCCTTGAGGCAGGAAGGCCTTTAAAGAGATTATTATAATTAAAAGAAAGATAAGGGAATTATGTAAGATATTGCTAGTAGAGATGGAAACTTGGAGCTGAAAAAAAAGATGTGTTCAGGAGGTAAAATATATAAGAGAACTTCTTGAACATTTAGATATGAGAAAAAAGAAAGCAGAATGAATTTAAGATGACAGTATGGTTTCTGGAATAAGTTATTTGGGGAGGAGTGCCTCTATGCCTTAACAAAGGTGATACAGGGGAAGTGCTTCAGTCACATTTCTTATAAATTTCAGTGCCTCAGAGAAGCCTTCTCTGATAAGCCTACCAAGAAAGGCAACTCCTGAGTCTTTATACCCTTAATCAGCTTTATTCTCTTTATAGGACTTATCAGTATCTGATATTATATAGTTATATGGTTATGAGTATATGGTCTGTCATCCACTCAAATTTAAATCCAGAAGGACACTGAATATTTATTAATTTAGTGAATAAGTAAATGAGAAGAGAAGGGGAAAAAAATTGTGAGTTATAGGGAATGAAGGATCCACAGTGTATGCTGGACATTCAGTTGAGTATTTCTAGTAGATGGAGGATATTAATCAGGAACTCAAAAGAGGTTCAGTTCTGGAAATTTTTATATAAGAGCCATCTGCTTTCAAGTGATAGTGGAAATCAAGGAGATTGTTGAAATTGCCTAGGAAAACAGGAATAGATTTTTAAAAACAAAAATGCTACATTAAACTAAAAAGTTTTGCACATCAGACAAAACCATCAAAAAAAGAAGACAACCTACCAAATGGGAGAAGATATTTGCCAAATGATACATTCTATATGGTGTTAATATCCAAAATTTATAAAGAACTCATACAGCTCAAACCAAAAACAACAGACAATCCAATTTAAAAATGGACAGAGGTAAGATTTCATTTTATATGGCTGAGCTATATTATATATATACATATAGCATATATATATGTATTTACCACTTTATCCAGTCATCTATTGATGGGCACTTAGGTTGCTTCCATATCTTGACTATTGTAAATAGTGCTGCAGTGATCATAGACGTTCATATATCTTTTCAAATTAGTGTTTTGATTTTCTTGGGATAAATACCCAGAGTGCAATTGCTGGGTCATAAGGTAATTTTATTTTTCATTTTTTGAGGAACCTCCATACTATTTTCCATAGTGGCTGTACCAATTTGCATTCCCATCAACTGTGCACGAGGGTTCCTTTTTCTCCACATTCTCACCAACACTTGTTATTTTGCAGAGGGGTTCACTGAAAAAGGTGAAGGGATTAAAAGTACAAATTGGTAGTTAGAAAATAGTCACGGCGATGTAAAGTACAGCATAGGGAATATAGGAAATAATATTGTAATAGCTGTGTGTTTTGCCAGGTGGGTACTATAGTAATCAGGGGGATCACTTCATAAATTATACAAATGTGTAACCACTATGCTATATACCTGAAACAAATATAAAATTAAAAAAAAAAATGAAAAAGTAAAAGCAAAAGAAAAAAAAAATAGGCAGAGGACCTATGTTGACATATCTCCAAAGAGGACATACAGATAGCCAATCGAAATATGAAAAGATGCTCGACATAATCATCAGAAAAATGCAAATTAAAACCACAATGAGCTATCACTTCACACCTGTCAGATGGCTATCATCAATAAGTCAACAAACAACAAGTGCTGGCCTGGCGAGGATGTGAAGGAAAGGGAACTCTTGCTTAGCGTTGGTGGCATTGCAAATTGGTGCAGCCACTTTGGAAAATAGAATGGAGGTTCTTCAAAAAATTAAATTCCATTTCTGGGTATTTATCTGAAGAAATCCAAAACACTAATTTGAAAAGATATATTCATTTCTATGTTCATTGCAGCACTATTTACAAAAGCCAAGATATGTGAGCAACCTAACTGTCCGTCAATAGATGATTGAATAAAGAGGTGTGGTACATATATACAATGAAATATTACTCAGCCATAAAAAAGAATGAAATCTTACCATTTGTGACAACATGGATGGACCTAGATGTTATTACATTTAGTGAAATTAGAGAGACAAAAAAACATAAGATTTCACTTGTAAGTGGAATCTAAAGAGGAAAAACAAGCAAACAAAACAGAAACAGACCCAGAAACTGAGAACAAACTCATGTTTGCCAGATGAGAGTGGGGTTAGGGGACTGGGTGAAAAAGGTGAAGAGATTAAGAAGTACAAAATAGTCAAGGGGATGTAAATTACAGCATTGGGCATATATTCAATAATATTGTAATAGCTGTGTATAGTGTCACGTGAGTTCTATACTAATCTCGGGAATCGCTTCATAAATTTTATAAATGTCTAATCACTGTGTTGTTCATCTGAAACTAATATAAAATAATACTGAATGTCAACTGTAATTGAAAAATAAACATGAGAAGTGACCGTGATGGAAGATAGGATGACTTGGGGAAGAAAAGGAACCGTTACTAATAATCTCTAGAAACCCTGAGCGACCAGTCTTCATTTCACTCCAGCTTGTCATCAGCATTTCCACTTCCCAGCCAACTAATGATCTCGGATTTTTGACCCCGTAGTTTTGGGGTTTTGTTTCCCATGAAATATATCTTCAATTATACAATCAAAAAAAACAATGGGAAAAGTTTTAATGTTTTAAAATGGTGTGATAAAGGAACATTTAGCCCTTCTCCTCTCAGAAATTATTCTAAACAAGGAGCAAAGATGTGAACTTCATCTTTCATGAAAAGTAGAAGTATCAATAACTCAAATCACAAAATATATGGAAGATCTTCCAAATGCGTGGGGATGGCAGAAGGCAGAGAGAGAATGCTCATGGAGGCAGATCTCAGAAAAAGCCAGTGGGGTCCGCTTCTCCAAGATGAGGTCATAGCCTCAGGTCCTATCACAAAACCCATTGTTTGCTGTAGTGGACCTTGGTGCACCAATTGATATCAGGAGCTTCTCTGTATGTTTCACTTTTTTTTTTTTTTCAAAGCAGGAAAGCGGCCTAAATGAGAAATCACGGACAAATCAGATTTGCAGGAAGACATGTATCAATAAAACAAGAGTGGGGAAAGAGACCCTGAATTGGAGTAGTAAATTGTAGAACAAGTCATGTTCTTCACCCTGCTTCATAATGGAATATTTGCTAGCCTGAAACACAGCCTAGTCCTCTCCTTACCACAGCCTACCTGCAAGTAGTTGGTGAGCATAACAGTGCTACCAAGGCAACAAAGATTATTCAAAAACTCGTTTGTGCATAACATTGCAAAAATACCAAGCAAAATATTAGCAAACACCAGAAGGACCATAAAAAAGTGGGACATATTCCTGGAATGCTAGGATGATCATAAGGTTTTGGCCTAATTTGTTTATTTAAAAATATTCCTATGTGGAGAAAAATTATGTGATTTCTTCTGGCTGCTGAAAAATCATTTAAGCAATTCAATGTCGTTCTTGAGGAATAAAGTCTGAATAATATGAGTTTATCCTTAAATGATCAAACACCTCCAGGCAAAGTCAGCCTGGAGCAT